GGGGCGCCTGGGTGGCTCAGTTGGTTAAGCCACTGCCTTCGGCTCAGGTCATGATCCTGGAGTCCCGGGATTGAGTCCCGCATCGGGCTCCCTGCTCAGCAGGGAGTCTGCTTCTCCCTCTGACCCTCCCCCCTCTCATGCTCTCTCTATCTCATTCTCTCTCTCTCAAATAAATAAACAAAATCTTTAAAAAAAAAAAGTGGACAAATTTTGGTATGAGAATGTCAGAACAAAGCTATGGGGAACAAGGAAAGCAGCTACAGCTGTGAAGGCACAGGAGCCATGCAAGGCTTAACCAACCTTTGTGCAAGCTCGGACAAGCCCTACATGGCCAAGCTGCTCCACAAGGTGATGCAACCCACCCGTAAAGAGAAGGAAGACTATGGCTCAGAGGCAGGGGCTCAGCTCCAGGGGAGCGGTGGTGGTGTAGTCAACAGCCAGAGGGGAACTGAACAGACCTGGGTCAACAACTGAGTCTTCCAAAGAATGGCTCCTCACAATCCCCTGTGTAGGGCCAGATCCCAGGCTGAATCCCCAGTGGCTGTGCGGAACTCCTAGTCCTGCAGGATGAAGGTGTAGAGAGCTAAGTATGCCTGCCCTCCAGCCCCCCTCCCAGGGCTCCTTCAGCTACTGAAATGGTATGAAGACTATGGGTGCCAGATGTCCACCTCTTCCACCACCGCCACCAATTCTGACAGCCTTCGTGTCAAAACCATGGACATAAGCTCCAAGCTAGAGGGATCTTGTTATTTTTCTTTTGCAAGGACTTTGTTTTATTAACTCTAATTGAGGTTTTACAAGACAATAAAAGGGAAGGGACTAATATTTATTGTACACCAGACCTGCCTGTCTGGTGATATTTTTTTCAGTAACTTTTCAAAACAACCTGTAGTAGATAAGTATTGCCACCCCCATTAACAAATGAGGAAAGTGAAGCTAAGGAAGGTAAATTAACAAGTTCAATTCCTAGAGCTAGGTAATGATACAGCCAGGATTCAAACCCACTGTGTCTTACACCAGCAGCCCTTTGAGCTTTCCACCATCTACAGTATCTCAAATGTAGCAGGGCTAGAGCGCTGTCCATGGTATTCCATCTTTACACCATTCTCTTCTGAACTATGTCTAAATCTCATAGCTACAAATCCTCAAATACCTACCAGTTATACTGTCACCTTTGGAGAAAGGTGGGCTCAGGCAGTTCCTTATGCTAATACTGCTATGCCTATTTATGCCTGGCTTTGATGATATGACAAGGGACAAGTAAATCGGTGCTTCCCAAACTTGTATATGTATATCAGCTGCAGCTCTGCCATAATGATCAAATAAGGGACAATTTGATCAGTTCTTCTCAAACGTTAGTGTGCATATGAATCACTTGGGATCTTTTTAACATACAAATTCTAACTCAGTAGTTCTGGTGTGATGTCTGAAATTCTGCATTTCTAACAAGCTTCCTGGTAAGACTAAACCATACTTTGATTAAAAGTGGTCTAAGCCAACTGAACTCTACATCTGAAACTAATGATATGCTATATGTTAATTAATTGAATTTAAATAAAATAATAAAAAAATAAAAGTGGTCTACACCACCAGCTTATGAAGAGGATCAAAGACTCTGCCCAAAAGGACCCCCCCAACACACACACACTTCATGTTGGATGGTTCTAAACCAGCCCAATCAAGTCACAGTTCTTGATGAGTTTGAACACCAGAGATACAGATAAAAGGGTTGGTGCAGCAGAATCAGACATGGAGAGAAAATGAATCAAGACTCAAGAGGAGCAATTAGAAGAGACAGGAATGCATATCACTTTTGAGAGGTCCTAGTCCAAATGCTAGGAGCTGAGAGAGGAAGCCATGGGGAGGAGAGTTGTGGGGGAGGGGAGTGGGAGTGGGAAGGGGGAGGAGACAGAGGATCCTGGGAGATTACTGTTAGCATAGCAACTTTCTCAAGTGCCAACACAAAGAGCATAAACAAATGGATACAATTCTTTTATAAATGTCATTGATACTTGAAAAAATTTATATTATACTTCATGTTTCAAAATACAGCTTAAAAGATTTAAGACCTTGCTGCTGTGGTAATAATAAGTGGATGTGATGCTGG